CTCCAGTTATAGCTGTTTAAAGTGGCATGTCAGTTTCTGTCTATGTTTTGGACAGAGATGCAATTATTGAATTAATTGACCCTTCTAACTGTAGAATCATCTTAATATGAGAATAAGAAAGTTGTAGGTAACTTCCTAATCTTTTCAAAAAGTTATGGTTCATGTTTGTTGGAGGTCTAGAACTCCAGTTATGCTTCTCTGAAGTTCTTATCAGTTTTCTGTACCACTGCTGTTGGGTTGCAATTGCAGTTTTGCTTGTGCAATTATTTTCATGGTGTAAATGATGTTTGCTATGGTTGTAGTGAATACAAAAGTTGTAGCAAATTTCATGGCCTTGCTTGTGTTCAAATTGTAAGGCCATAGGCCTGATAGTGTAGGAGTTACATGACTTTTAAGTCTTCTGTCAGGTTTTGATTGTATTCTGAGCAGATCTGAAAGATGCTAGTATTTGATCTAGTTAGGGTTTGAATGAGCTTTTGGTGATAATAACAAAGTTGTAGATAATTCAGGTATCTAGCTTCTGTTAAAATTTGGTGGTATTTGGTTTTGTGGTTTGTAAGTTATGCCTGTTTAAAGTTGGGTTACAGAATTGATTGCTCTCTGTCAATTGTGGACCAGTTTCTATAAATTGGTATATTTGACTTAGTTAACTTGAGAATCATGCTAAGATGATTAAAGATAAATTGTAGATAATTTCATAAGCTTTCCAAAATGTCTTCTTGCAAGTCATTTGGATTTGTGTAACTCAGTTATAGCTAAATCTTGTAGCTCTTTGTTTGCATGTCCGTAAATTGGCGATTCCAATTATAGAGTTTGCTTGTATATTGTTAAGTGTGACTTATGCCTTGAATGATGGTGAGTTAGAGCACACGAGATCTTGGGAAACTTGTGTCATGCTTGGTGTTGTCGTCTTCTTTGTCATCTTAGCATGATAGATTGTGTGATGTTTAAGTTAAGCATCATAAAGTACTTAAGTGTGTTAGTGTAAACTATGCTTGTCTTGCTTGCATATTTTGTGATGCGTCTCATGGTATTATTCTTCATATTTATGCACTTGTATATTGCATCTCATCTAGGTACGCGCTAGATGCACCACGTGAAGGATGCGATGTTGGAGCCAAACCCAAGATTTGGTTTGGTGGATATATCTCGAAGATGGAAGCACTAAGCAAGTGCCGAGGACCGAAGGTGTCACCAAGGCGGTGCAAGCTAACCGAGGCCGACTTGTGTCGGATTCGAGCAAGCCCGGAGCATTCTAAGTCTCCCATGTTTTTATAAATATCTTGAGTATCTTTTATTGTTGATGATGCATTAAGTATAGGAATTGGTTGGAACCAATTGTTGCATTATATCCTTACCTTGTCCGGATAAAATCCTATGAATCCTAATTAAGTGTAGGATCGAATGATGCTTAGCTATGCTTAGACCGGTAGAAGTCGGGTGATTTCTGTCACTGCGAGATGTAGGATGAGCTCTGGTCACGGTTGGCTATAATGGCTATCATGTAAAAGAACCATGTGTTAATAATGAAAGGAGACCGGGACGGGATGATGGTAAGACAACAAGGCATGGAGGTCTTGGGTGTGAATCTATCCCCGTCGTGTCGTTTAAGGACCGATCTGTTTGACGTCCTCATGTCATGTTGAACGCAGTCTAACACTTAGGCTGGCCGGATAAGTCGTTCCGATGCATGAAGCCTAGTAGCTCGACTCAAAGCCGAGGACGCAGCGGCGATGGCGACATTCGGAGGTAGTAAGGATGTGCGGAGAGCCATTGGCATAAGTCTAAAGCGGGTTAGAGTCCCGAACAACCTTGGCGAGTGGTTCTCACGAGAATGTCGATCTGTTCGGACTCGTGACTCTGAATCGTACCAAAGGTGACTCGTTTGCGACACGGACGGGGAAAGCGGATTTGTGTTTAGGAATACCCCTCCAGCTCGATAGGAATCGATTCGAATCGTCGTCTCTCCCGGATAGTGAGAACTTGACCGAAAGCGGTGGCAACGTAGATTCACTAAATATAAAGATATGGTTAAATGATGATGATAATGATGATGAGAATTATGATGAGCCATGAAATACGATATGGTTATTATTGTTTGCAACTAAATCAAATGGTTAATTTAAATACGAGGTGCTAATATAGATGGTAGGTAATGGCTAAAAGTCAATGCTAGTACTGGTGAATAATGCTAATGGTTACTCAAGCTTTTATGCAAAAAGGTTGTCCAACTAGATCCAATTGATAAAGCCTTGCATACTCCTTGGTGTCATTTATTTTTTAGTTTATGACGGGTAAGTCGGCTAAGTACATTCGAGTACTGGGGTTTATCCCACCATGTTGCAGTGGAGTTCTCTACTTTGTTGAAGATGGTGGCTAACCACGGTGGGCTCGGTGATTCTATAGTTACTTCTCATCTATATGCTTTTATCGGATATGCTAGCAATATATTTGGAACTTATATTAATGTAATCATTTGAAAGCCATGTTGTTTTCACTAAGCGGTTTGAAACCCAAACTTGTACTTTTATTTGTGACCCCATATGTAATATTATTTCATTTTGCAACCCTGTGTATGTGATGTGTATTTGCTTAATCACGCGATCTTGGTTGTGATGTTGATTTACCGAGGTCTTTCGGGACACTCGGCGGACTACCGGGTTTATATAAGTGAAAGTATGTGTGTGTCAACGTGTTAGCGGGGACAGCCGTACTTGATCTTGTATAAATTGGACGGTTCTGTTACACATTGGACATAGGAAGAAAAAACTGACACGGTCAAACCAGTCAAGTAACAGATGACCAATGAAAATGGACGGCAGTACCATTTAAGAAAGAAAATTTTAACTTAATGCCAAATAGGAAAGTTCAAATTTTCGAGTGCCAAATACAAAACACTGATTTGTTTTGGTACCAAATAGATAATTCTCCCTTTTCTAAAAGATGGATGGTCCTATAGCACAGTGTACAGGGCTCTATACAGGTACTTTTTAGTGCACTAGTCCTTTGACAACTCTCTGGTCATCCTCGAAGCATGTTGTCTTTGGAAGCATCAGAATCAATGTGTCCTTAATGGCATAGCACCTAATCTAGGGGTGGTTTGGGCGCTCACTACAGAAGAGCTTCATTTGTGGATGTTGGCTGGGGCTCGAGGGATGTCCTGCTTGTACACCCTAGCCACGGGGGGAAGCTTGAGCTCAAGTCGAGGAGCGACCTCACTAATTTTGACTAAAAATGAATGAACAGTAGCCATATTACTGTTCATTTAATGGAGAATTAGTGGTGGCGGGGGTGGCCAGGGCCCCCTCTGGCCCCAACTAAGCTCGGCCCCTGACCCTAGCTGATGTTGAGTCTCAATAGAGTTTGTGGTTAAGGTTGTTTTCTCTTTTAGCACTAGCGAGTCTGTAACCTTTTGAACGCTACTTGGGTTCATTTCCCCTCTTTTTTCTTCTATAATATAATGATACACAGCTCTCCTGCATTTTCAAGAAAAATAAACCAACACACTATGAGACACAGGAGAGACTCGAAACGTGTTTCTTGTGCAAGTAAATCAGACAATGCTAGTGCCATAGTGAGAGTAGATGCCAAAGGGTGCCTAGCTCAAACAGTTAGGTGACCCGGCGGCACTTCTCAGGTTCTGAGTTCGACTCCCCGTGGGAGCGAATTTCAAGCTGAGGTTAAAAAAATCCCCTCGTCCGTCCCCATAATCAAAGCACTGGGGGGGCACCGGCCCAATTCTCACTTGGGCGACGGAAAGCCACCGTGTAAGGGTGGGGGCGGGGGTTCGGGGGTTTTCTCGGTCGGGTGAGAAGGTCCTTCTTATTTGAAATGCTGCGGGGGCAGTCTTAACCCCCCGTTCGAGTTTTTTTTATAGTGAGAGTAGATGAATTATGAAGCGATTGTGTAGGAGTGGAATCATATTCAGCTTGTATACCCATGAAAAAACTATATGTAAATAGTGCAGGGCATGTTGCAATCAAATTCCACTTGTACACAATGAGGAATCGGATCACCAATCACAAGAACACCCCCTCTGTCTTCTCTAGGAAGCTGATGCTGGAGACAATGACAACCACCTGCCAATCCACAGCATAGAAAAATGAAGGCGCAGACAAAGGGAACCATGTAAGAAGGATGAGTGGGCAGACGCTAAAAGGCACTGATTCCACGAACAGGCAGATGAACAACAAATCAATCCGCAAGGGGCAAAACCGAATGGTAACTGTGGAATATGGGGCGAACAAGCGGCGACGGGCAGAGATGGGGCAAATGAGCAACGACAGGCAACGGGTCCTCCCGCGTGGACTGCACAGACAAGGGCAGTGACGAGTGGACATGATTTGCAATCCAATGTGCGGATGAACACGGTCCTCGATGGGCCATGCACTACAAGCGGGTGGAAGTTGTGAGATAGCAAGGGTTTCACACGTTAGGCCACAACTAACTGAAGAAGGCCGGTGACCGGCAGAGCACAGGTAAAAAGAAAATTGAATCATGAGTGGATTAGATGAACCTAACCCAAACCCTAATCCATGGCTTTGTTATCATGTGACTAACCTTGGGGATTTCATAAGACCACTACTCTAGTAGTGGAGATGACAATATATATACAACCTCATGGGCCATATGGGCCTATAGATAGATGGGCCTTACACTTAATATGTGCATATGTCAACCCAATGGATTGAGCACTGATCTTAAGCAGTTGTAATATAAATAACATGGCCTAAACTTAAACATCCAAATACAACCAAATTATCATGCAACATATTCACCTTAAATTGTTATGAGAAGCAGCTCACATACTAATGTTGGAAGACATGTTAATACATGCTCAAATATGAAATATCTCAAAAGTTCAAATATGAAATATCTCAAAAGTTACGTCTGGAGTAACATATTTTTCATAGAGCTCATTCAACGTTAGCATCAAAATCAAAGGGACGATATTATATATAAAGAAAGACTAAACAGAAATTGCTACCAAGTAGACTAACCCTTTTTGGCGACAAGATAACACAACTTCGTGTAACCATGAGGAAACACCAGGAAAAAATCTCCTAAAGCTTTGAATCTTCTGTGCAGCTTCTTCAGTGCTGCACTCAAGTTGTTCTGCAAGGGAGTTTGCACCCATTCCGTAAAGGATGCCGTATATGAATCTTTTAGTGTTTTCTCTCTCTTTGGAAGATATCAAGGCCTCTTCTTTATCAGCCCATCTTGAAGCAATCATGGTAAAAACATCACCATCAGGTTTACTTAGAAGTTCAACCAGCGTAGGATCTTTAGAAAAGTGAGCCATTAAACGCAACTCAATCTGTGAGTAATCAGCAGTTACGAATAACCAGTTCTCCTACAAAATAAGTAGATCACGACATTATCTAAAGCATTGTTACAGGAAAAATATCGTCAGCTATCCTAATTAAAGGGAAAACTTAATAAATACATAAAAGTGAAATGAGGAAAACCTTGGTCGGTATGAAAAAATCACGGGCATTGATTTTATGATGATAATCCACTGACACGCTTGAGTAATCTTTATCGCTTTTCCCTGTATCGAATTCCACCAAGTGCTCAACACACTACATAGTAACAGGGTAAATCAGTAGGTTATTCCTCAATAACAGAAATCCAAACAAAACACACAAAACATTTACTATGACTAAAGAACCTGCAGATTTGGCTCCTCCATGGACAAACGGCCAGTGGCAGTAGATGTCTGAAGCCAATTACCATGTATGATGTACCTTTGTGATTGAGTGCACAATTGAGCACGTGAGCAAATGGACCACAATGTGCCATTTAACAGTTTTGCTAATGTTCTGTGTTCCTTAATTACTGGGATAATTGGGTGTTGATCCCTGAGGAAACAGAAAAATTCAAAAATATTTTAGCAAAATGGACAATTAAAGTTCTACATTATTGGGATAATTGATAGAACCCTAAAGAGAGCATTATGTCCAGTTGATAAGGATTTTATAGTAAACTATAAAGCCACGGCAATTCTATGTCGAGGAAAATTTGGGGCCAAGTGAAATCGAAAGAGTGCCATAGATTTCAATCAAAAGGAAGGCCTGCTTGGCAAGGCAGTAGTCTTGCCTTGCTACAGATCTTCCGAGTGCATATAATAGGGACATCAGCAGCAGCCCATAAACTGAAAATAAGGTAAACAAAGGGGTGACAGTGATACATGTGCTTCCCTTTGGCATAAGCTTTTCCAAATAAATGATATTATTTGAACATGCAATGAAAATGCACGTATTTAGTTAGGGATGAAAAATGAGTTAATCCTGTTAATTGACTCCAAAAAACAGAAAAAGAGTGCATATTAGCACAATGATATTCTAAAAGCATGTCCAGAAGATGATCAAATGATAATAAAATGTGGCCCCACCAGCACTTTTCTAGCTCTCATAAAGACAACATAATAATTTACCTTTACTCACACAGAACTACCACCGGACCATCACTGACTAGACACCAGATATACTAAAAAGGGGCAGACCCAGTGCTGGAGGCTCCCACATGAGTGAGGTCTGGGGAAGGGAAAAACCGAGGCAAGCCTTCCCCCCGCAAAATCTGCGGAGAGGCTGCTTCGAACCCGCGACCTGGTGACTCAGTGAGACAGGTCTCACCACTGCACCAGGCCTACCCTTCAAATGGCCGGATATACTGACACATTTAAAAATTTTCCATACATAATGTCTGGATATAAAATGGCACACAAGTACTTCCAAAGAACCCGATTTTTTTTTTGAAACGCAGGAGAGCTGTGTTTCATTGTATTATAGAGATGAAAAGGGGGGGGTCCCAACAGGATCCTCACTCATACGGGGACCAAATATGAGTGAGGCAATTATATAGCCTTAAGGTTTAAACACATAGTGGACAATATGACTCGACCTTAACACAAAAAGACCTAGTCTGCAGCCTTGAGACCTAACCCCAGTAATTTTCTCGTGACCATGCACCGAGAGGTCATGCTCATTTTTCAGCTCACTCCAAATCATGTTAAGCTTAAGGAGAAGCCCCTCAAAAACACATGCATTCCTATGCTTCCAAATAATCCAGGCCCCTAAAATAATTAAAGTGTTCACTCCTTTCCGTGCTCCTTGCTAACTCTGCTCATCGTCGTGCGCCACCAGTCAGCAAAGCTCAGTTCATTTTGTCGGGGGACTGAATCTGCTAGGTTCAGTGGAGTGAATAATCTGAACCAAACTTGTCTTGCCACCATGCATGTTGTTAAAAGATGTTGTATTGTCTCATCTTGATCACATAGCGGGCATTTATCCGGATGAGAGAGGCCCCTCTTAGCAAGCCTATCTGCCGTCCAACATCTATTTCGATTGCCAACCACAAAAACATTTTGCATTTGGCAGGGGCCCAAGTCTTCCATAGTCGACGCCAAGGCTCAAAGGTCACAGCACCAAAGAACCAGAAATGACATTTTTGATGTTCAGAATTAACAACAGGGAAAAAAAGAAAAATACCTTAGATGGTCCAAAGACTGCTTGTCAGTGCTAGGATGCAGCTTCCCTTTCTCACAGCCTTTTGGAACTGGCAATTTTAGGTGTGTATATAGAATGTCTGCGATATCAGCAGTAGCATTTAGAGAGAAATTCTTGCCTGCTAATCTGTAAGCTTCTTTCTCTAGTTCCTTCAGCTTTTTGTTATAATATGCCTCATGACGGAGACAAGCATCCATGTCAGCGCCTAATTCCCCAAAGTTCCATATCAGCAAGAACATTAACCTGTCAAAATAAATGCATAAGAGATATTCAAGCATAATACAAGCAGCAATATTGTATTCCGATCACAAGAGAGTGTCATTTTGGATATCAACACGGGTACTAATAGGATGATTTGACTGCTATACTACTATGAAGTGTATGAAACTATAGCAAAGTTGTAATGTTTTGAACTACTTTCCAAAAGGAATCTAGTTGCGCCATTTTCAGATATTCAATCCAAAGCATCAAAGTTTAAACAAGCTAACCGCATGCAACCCAAAATGACACTTTTGTTATAATTGGAGAGAGTATTACATAAGAATAGGAATTGTACCAACGGGGCCTCAATTGTTTCAACCAAATCAGAAAGATTTTGAGTAAGTAATTTCTTCAGAACAGTATACAAAGCTCGTGTCTGTGCAGCACGTCTACAGCATCCATTGTGTGCTGCTTTGTGCATCTGATTTCTCCATCTTCCATCGCGATTTGCAGCAGCAGCAGCTTCACTATGAAGTCGTCTCTTGACAAACTGTTTATCACAAAGGATGAAAATAAAAAAGTACTACATTATCAGAAATAGCTCAGCATCAAAATTAACAGATGTGTATTGCTATTGCAAAGTTCAGAAGAAATCAGACATAAAAAATGAGCATGAAGGGACAGTGCATCAGCAATGAAAAGCTAAAGGTATTGCAGAACACGACATATATGATATACCTTCTCAAGATTTGGTACCGTTCTGCTTTCCTCATCAGGCCATAGAACCCACGCCAGCAGACATATATCCAATCCATTGTAGACAGAGATTGGTGATAACAACATATATGAGTTGTCAAGCACTTCAACTTTGTCCAGCATTTTATGGTCAAGATGAAACCTTTCAAGCCGTTGGCAAGAGATATAAGGTGATTTAAGTGCCTGAATCTGGATCTTTAAATTCCATGTCATTTTCTGGACACTCTTTTGTTGCATAATGTCCGTTATTTTTTCCCATCTTCTCTGAAAATAACCCCACATTTCCCTGAAGTCATTGTTACCAGTAGTGACTAGATCTTTTGGGAAGTTGCAGTAGTATATGGGGGAATTTTCCCAACAGACAGCCAACCCAAAAACTTCAAAAAGGTTCGAAGATGGTTTCAGCGATCTCTTGATAAAATGGACATCGAAGAAAAATTTGCTAGCAGCAGACCATTGATCAAGAAAACAGTCAAAACCCCCTGGAAAGTTATATGCATGGACAGGGCCTTTGTCAGCCACATCTCTACTACTCAATCCATCAGCAATTTCTGTTGACAAAGATGCTGCTGCTCCCTGTCTAGTGATTTTCACATTTTTAGATAGTTCTGCATTCTCTTTCATTTGAATGGAAGGAGCAGGGTTTGCGTCCTTTCTTAGACTGTATGTAGAAGCCCTTGGGGTAGCATAATCAGAGCAGTTATTCTTATTTTTATCATCTCTAGCATGGGTACCAAAAGCTAGCTTGTTGGACTTAGCTTGGTCTATGGTATCTCGAGTTGGATAGTCCTCAATAGCTGCGAGTGGAGGTGCAGTGAACTGAGGAACTTCCACACCAAGTGACTTGAAAGCTGAGAATGCTGCTACTCTGGCAGCTTCTGCCTCCTCCAGGACAATTTTGCGAGCTCCATTTTTTATTTTCTTGGCTATACCAAATTGCATTCGTCGTAAACCAGAGTCTAGTCAATTCAACAGATTGACATTAGAGTAGGCTTAAAACAAACAACAAAGTATCTGCAAGCTTATTACTGAACATATCCAGAAGCAACTGAGAAACTAATTTGTGCATCTGTAACACTACTACTACTACTATTGCTACACTTATTGCTACCACCACTGCTAATGTCAACAATTAGATCCTTAGAAAACAAGTACACGAAGAAGGGTAGCAAGGAAAAGATCAAACCATGAATGCTTGAAAGAGTACCTTGCCCAGACCAACCAGAAGATTCAAAAAGAGCTTTTGCAATTTCAGGAATAGATGCTTCAGCAATGGCAACAGGAGTACGCAGACCAGACTTGTACAAAGCCCTTGCACGTGAGCCCTATTTCATATTTTACATTACCATACTGAAATAAGATGCAGCGACACTTAGATAATTCATACATGCATGGTAATTGAAGCACACCTTGACAAATGGAATTGATGTCAGTTCTGCAATCTCTGCCCTAACTCCAAAAGAGACACGATTTTGGAATTTCGAAACAAGGCCTTCTAAATCATTCCAACCAAGTCTTTGACAAAATGCAGAAACCATTGAAGCAAACCTGCCAGCATTTTCCTGCAGTGCCTGAATCATACCTCTGGCGACCTTAAATGTCTCACAAACATCAGCAATAGGAATCTCCTGAAAGAAGCATTACAAGAGAACAGTACAATCTTTTCAAGGAAACAAGATGGAAACACCACAACATGGAATAAAAGATAAACAAACAAAATACAGGAGAAGAAATTGACAATACCACAACGAACAATTCCTAATGGCTATATTACAAAACAAACTTACATTAAGGTGCTGTTTGTTTCAAAGTTGTAAATGGTAACGTAAATGGGACCACGTCACGGCGCAAATAGTTCAGCGTAATTGATACCGTTGATTTGTTTGTTTCGATGAGCGCTAAGGAGCATGGAACTGGATCCGTTACCGCTCCATGCTGAGTGGGATCTGCGTTCTATGGGCCCGGAACGGTTGCCGCTGTTATCCATTATGGACCACGCAAAACCAAACGCAAAGAAGTGCAATTAGATTGAGGCGTGAACTGGTTACGGGCCAAGAACCGCAAACCAAACAGCACCTAAGACCATTACAATACACAACTTGGACATAATTTAATCTGCTTGTGCAAAGTGCATATGAAATACATATCAGACATTCTCTATTGGATCGCAACTAGAGGAGGGTGATGAGTGGAGTTGCTAAGACTGAATACAGGTTCAGTTCTGAACCAAATAGCTTAGCTTCTTCATACTGCACATAGATATTTTCATAGTAGAGTTAAACACACCAGCAGTCACGAACAGCCTGTTGTGGACACTTGTGAGCAAGAAGAGCAAGCCGGCGTCCATAACACCAAGTGGATAACAGCCACACCTAAATATTGGCGAGTTTGTTGAGTCTTTCCTTAGTTATGCATGGCGCTTAGTTGGAAGGCTAGGAGGAATAATAGGAAAGAAGACAGAAATTCTAGGAGAGTGGTTAGCCTCTAGGCCTATTTATCTGTAAACCGAATGTGACTAGGGGTTAAGCAAGAAGTGAGTTATTATGACCAGAGCCTCCTAGGGAGGTTGATCAGGCTCATTTCCTTGCCATTGTTTCAATAAAGCCAACAATCCAGCCAAATCACCTTTGCAAAGACACTTTTCTGCGACCTGTTCATGGCCGACTCCATCACCGCCGTGGACTTCAAGTCCACGATGGACAAGTTCTTCGCTGATTTCTCCTTCATCAAGGACGAAATGGCGACAATGAAGGGCGACCAGAGCCACTTGACAGTGGCAACCAATCAGCTGCAGACAGAAAAGATTGAATTGAGAGGCACTGACGGCGGCACGAACAAGGTGAAGATTAGCACCGAACCTCCGCCCCCACCTCCCAACCCACCCACTGCTGTGTTTTCCACGCTACGATGGCGCCACCGATCCGGTGGTCTGGGTCCACAAGGCAGAACAATTTTTCCACACCCATAGCTCACCTTCTACGTGGAGGGTGCTGCCTAGGACTGGTACTATGCCAGCAACAGAATCACGGCCCCCACCTGGCGGAGTCCACCGACGGGTGTAACACCGTTTTGGCCCCGGTGCGCAGCAACTCCCTCGGCGCCCATATGAAGTTGCGCTCACCAGGGGCAGTTCCTTCCCATGTTGGCAAGCTGCAAGAATGTCACGGAGCAGCAGCAGATCGACATCTTCACTCCTGGCCTCCGCAACCCACTTCCGACCAATGTGGAGCTCAAGATCCCAAGTCTCACGACGATGCTATAGGCCTCACACGTGCATTTGAACGTCGCCTAAAACCGGACAACGATGATGACCTCAGCGCCACCCATGTGCCTCCATGGCCCACGCCGATGCAGCGCGTAAGCGCGCTGAGCGGCGGCGCCACAAGCAGCGTACACCAGCCCAGCCCGCCAAGGCACCGATCCGCACTCCACCGGCCCGACGCGAAGGCGCGCGCATCAAGCGACGCTTCGCTTCAAGCGGCTCACCCGCAGAGCTGGCCCAATGCCGCAGACATCCCCGCTTCAACTACCCAAAGAAATTCACCAAGGACCATCACAAGTCCTGCTTTCGATGAAGGGAGTTGGATGGCGAGGCTACGGTCGGGCGGTGCGGTGGAAGATGACCCAAGTTTCGGCGACGGCGTCGAAATCTCCCTCACGCCCTCACCGGCATTGTCACGGCGGACACTATGCACCTACCGGTTTCCATCGCCACCAAGCAGCTGCGTGCCTTGGTGGACTCCGGCTCCACCCACTCCTTTGTGGTGTCCACCACAAAGACACCGCCCACCTTGAGTTAGAGCCATGCCCAGATCTCACCGTGAGCATCACCAATGGCGATCACATTAGTTGTAATCATCGGAGAGCGTATGATGAGACCGTGCACATGACCATCGGAGAGCGTATGATGAGACCGTGCCAAGGCAATCAACATTCACCATTAGTTGTAATCATCGATTCAAGGTGAAAGCTAAACTTTATTCCAAATCCTTTTGGTTTCCACCTCCAAGGCTGCTACTTGGTTTATATGATTATAGATTCAAACACCTTGATGTGATGGAAGGAGAAAATTGTGATGTTATCACAAACCTACAAGTCGACGGCCTAGCACAATTTTTTTGATTGGAAGAGTCGAGGGCGACTCCTTTTCAAGAGGAGGATGATGAAGGACATGCCACGGTTACTCAAGTTACACATAAGCAAGTGTATGAAGGGCCAATTACGTAGTAGCCATGCAAAAGTACTCAAAAAAGAGGTGAACTCACTCCTAGCTGAAATTAACTACAATATACATGAGAATACTATACTACCTAAGTGTTCTACTTTGGTTGTACTTAGGTATACAAATAAAGAGGAGGATGTTGCTCACGTCGGACCAAGACACAGTGAAAAACGGACCATCGATTCAAGCACCAAGCCACAGTGAAGATGGACCAGCTGAAAGAAATATTCATAAATCTCGATTCCCTAAAGCTTTGGAGGTCCATGAGGACATTTTGGAAAGCTTATCAAGCCTAGTTTCCAATGGCACCAGTTCCAAGTATTTTGGAATTCCCAATTTTGAGATATGAACAGATTAGTGAAGACTGCTCAGAAGGTAAACAGTCTTCCCAAAACAGAATGTTGGTACAACTTCCCGTTTTGTACCATTCTACTGACGTTTCATGATGCATGCTACACATGGCATTTGGAAAGCTTGTCAATTTACTTTCACACCCAACAAACGGCTCGTCATTTCGACTTCCCAATAAAGAGTTATGGTAAGATTAGTAGAGAGCGCGTCAGAGGCCAACAATCACGCAAGACCACTTGAGAATCCATCTCGTGGTGAATTTTCACATAGCCTATCTTCAGAAACTCCATTTCGTTTTCACACCTAACTAGGAGGGTTGTTCCTAGTATAAGTATCCCCTGCCTCTAAGCTATTAGGAACCTTTTGATGAATTGATAAACCGCATGATATTGCAGCCGAGCTGCTGAGTGTCTTACTCAAACCTTTGTTCCTCCTTGTTCTTCTTGGACTTGTGAAGAGATTCCTCTAGAATCCCCTGTTTCGTGCTCTACGGTTTCCAGTACGGCTACACCGTTTTGTGTGGATTAGTTCCGGATTGTGGTTCTGCGGTCGTTCGGAGATCGAGTCGAAGTCTTCACGGTTTCGGTACCTCTCTCCCCGTCACTTGGTCGCATCCAACCTTGGACAGGTATAAAGCTAGTTACTCTGTTGTTCGCAGCAAGTTATCTTTCGTTCTTCGACCTACTGTCATGAAGATCGGGCCACCCTCAAGGAGATTCCTTATCAGCGTATCTACATCGACCTCTACGTCCTACCCCTCGATGACTATGGGCTGGTCCTTGGCTGCTAGTGGCTCAAGATGCTCGGCCCACACTATGGGACATTGAGAGCAATTCTATGGCGTTCTGGCGCGGCGCTCACCTCGTCAAGTGGCGTGGCCTAGATGCTCCCAGCGTGCCCCAGCTCAACGCCATGGAGCGGCTGGACATGATGTCACTCCTCCTGGCGGAGTTCTCTGACGTCCGACCTCTTTGCGGAACCGACCGGCCTGCCACCATGACACCTAGACAACCGCATTACGTTGCTGCCAGGTACAACAATCGCGGTGCACCTACGCAAGGACACGAGCTGGCGTTTCTGCATCAACTATTGCACCCTCAACACCAAGACTGTGCGCTACAAGCTCAAGGGGGGCACCTTCTTCACTAAGGTCCGCATGCACCCGGCGAACATTGACAAGACAGCATTCTACACGCATCATGGACACTTCAAGTTCATCGTAATGTCCTTCAACCTGTCCAACATGCCCTCTACGTTCCAGGCATTGATGAACCAGGTCCTTTGGCCCATCCTCCACCACTTGGTACTCATTTTCTTTGACGACATCTTGATTTCTAGTTTATCCCTTGATCGAAACACTTGCAACATGTGCGAGCTGTCTACACCCACCGCGCCCACAAGCTCCTCAAGCGCTCCAAGTGCTCCTTCGCCGAGCACAGCGTGGCATATTTAGGCCATGCCATGGACCCGACCAAGGTGGAGGCCGTTCAACAATGGCCTCAACCCTGGGCTCTCAAGGCGGCCTCACGGGCTACTATCGCCGCTTGATCAGCAACTACGGTGTGATAGCCACCCATTGACGGTGCTCCTGAAGGACGCCTTCCGTTGGTCCCCGGTGGCCTCGGATGCTATCATGGCGCTGAAGTTAGCCCCCACATCTAGCCCTGCTCTACAGTGACTTCTCCAAGGGGTTCACCGTCAACTGTGACGCCTTGGGCTCTGCGTTCGGTGCCGTCCTCTAGCTCTTCAGCAAGGCCATCACGTCGTAGCATGCCAAATTGGCAACCAATGAGCACAAGCTCACTAGTCTGGTCAAGACGAGGTCCAAGATGCAGAATGTGGTGGTGAAGACGAGGTCCAAGGTGGTGCCAGTATACTCAGCGCATGAGCACGGTGGCCCCTCCCTTGTTTGACTTCCACTTGAGCCTGCCATGGCAACGAGGACGGAGCTGCACAAATTGACAACACCGATGGTGGAGTGAGGCTTCATGTCATTGGTACCTGGTAGGCGATGAACGTGCCCGTCTTCACACGCGTCGCCGCCTTTTTGACCCGCACACCACCCGAATATAGCGAGGAGGCTAGACCTACCAAGGAGCGCCTTAGGTGCACCTCGGCATTTGACGGAGACTACAAAAGGGCACCTTGGTAGTCCGTGCTCGCAGATGGCACCTTGGTAGTCATTGTTGGCAGAGGGAGAGGTGCAGATGCTAGGAGTGGAAGAATAAAGAGCAGAGAGAGGCACGAGGTCAACACAACACCATATAGGAAATTGGTGCTGAAATGGACCATGTGGATTTGCGGTGGACCACAACTCACAAATTTAGTTATCTACAGAAATGCATTTTCAGAGTTCGTGGACCTAAGTGGCAAACTATGACGTGTTTAACTCTTCATATAGCGCATAGATCCTCCTATGGCTGTTGTCTAGAAAAATCAGAAATTGGATACTCCTAGGCAGCTGCTAGCCTTAGTGCCTAAGAAAGCAAACCAACATATCCTCCTACTGCTGTTCCACACTAGCAAAGTCAAAATTGGCTGCTTCTTACAAGCTATCGATAGTAGAGCAGTAGCGAATCTTCTTATCCAAGCAAAACAGCAGACTATGTCTATAGGAACCAACCTATAATACTATGTCGGGTAATGCTTTTTCGGGACCAAAATCGGGTAGCAATTTCAAGTGCCTGAAATTTTCGAGTTCCCGAATGCCCACCCTGTGGTCTTGGTTTGATGCAAAAGGTGTGTTGGGTGTGTTGTAGCATATTTGATGCACGAGTTTGTACGAGTGTACATGAGTGGCGTGGTGGGTGTGTTGTAACTTATTTATTTATCCCTTCTTAATGAAATGATACATAACTCTCCGTGTATTCTACAAAAATAAAAAACATGAACTAATATTTTAATTGGCCATCTATAATGAGAAAACATTTCAACCTTTATTTCCCTATTGAACTAATTTTTATGTTTAGCAACTTAAGCTTTCTACCGATCTTGAGCACTATGAATTGACATAGAAATAACACGCAATGTCTCAATAGTTCTTAGATTATACCGAGCAAGCCTCGATAACATCAAAGCCACATAAAAGCGCTTTGACACTGAGTGTATGCTCACTAACAAGAGCATTTCCACCGGCTTGTCTTTGACTTGTTACTTAAACCAGTGTTTCTCCGAGGCCTTCCACAAACAGGCATTGACGCCCCATGAGCCATGTGCATCAAGAAGGGTTCGATTACTCCAACCCGATTGCCTCTTGATTGCATTGACCAACAAAACAAACAGAAATTGAAAAATGAGAGAAATTGTGTGTTCTATGAACTGAAATTGATAATGTAAGTAATGGTTTGATTTCTCAACCAATATGGTAAACTTCAGAAAGATACGGTGTCACGAGCATACTGCCTGGTGGCCATGCGACAAAGCCAGTGTTAAGGAGGGAGATAGCCAGATAGGAACTGTTGATCTATCTATTTCTTACTTAATTCAAAGTAGATACAATCCCATTGCAATATAGATGTGGAGACTTGATCCTTAACAACTACTCTCTAGCGTTAAGGAAATAGCCAACAAGTCAACCCGATCTAATATAATGTCTATCTTAACAAACCCCGGACACAGCATGAATGGTAACGCATCTACTTTTCGCATGAACAGTACACAGGCCCCAAAAGGTCTGCGACTAACCCTTCATCATTTAGGCCTTAATAGGGTAGACATGGCATACAGTTACAAACATTTTTGGCACTGTAATGATAACACCACTGATAAAAGATTAATGTTCTGCAGAAAACATGTTATCATGTCAGTTGTTCCGTTTTTTGTTGGGCCAAAGAAAACATGGGGATTGCAAAAAGCTAATAAGAACTGCCAAGTCCTAAAAAGAATCTTATGAACCATGTCAAATAATATATGAAGTAGTAAACTGCAACCAAGTACAGCGCGAAAGAGTCCAATTAATATATGTATGTTTTAGTCTGATTCATGGTTATGTAAAAATACCAAAACAGATTTCACACATTCCATTTTTTTGTTAAAAATAACAGGCACTGAATTGAAAGAATAAGCTCTATAAGAGTACATGAGAGACATAAGAGGGAAACCCTAGACTAGAAGATTACACTAACTAGATGATACCCCGCGCGTTGCTGCGGAGATTTGTAGTATTGCAAGTCTTCCATGTGAGTCTGCGGCAATGGTTCAATTGGATCAAGAAATTTAAGCAGAATCGAAGTGAAATTATTGGCAATTTTAAATCACACGAACCAACGGTGGCAAAGCAGAATGAAAAACGTAGTGCAATGAGGATTAAATATAGATATATGAGAGCTAATGTGATGTATATGTGCGGCATCTAGAATCAATTGATCAAATACCATATACATATAGAAATCTGCAGTAGTTAAGAGGCACTCCAGATAGTTTTATTGAAACTCTATACTAATGAAATCCACGACCTTTTTTTATTCAGAAAGTAATACCCTAAAGCGGTGACCTGCAGTTCCAGGAGCAGGCTATCAGAGAGTGTGTACGCTAGTTCCGGTGATTAGGTGGATGATAGCAGTATACACGCAACTATTCATTTCTGAACGTATAATAGTATAATACCGCATCCGACCTGGTTCAGCTGCGGGGCCTGCACTAAAACAAAAGACAGCTTCATGCGTGCTGTTCTTGCTTCTCGAGTCGTCGCCATATCCTCCCCACCGCTGCCATTCCAGACTGCTGCTGCATGCTGCCGGCGCCGCCCCTTTGCTCCTACTGCCCCTCCTGCATGCGTCGCCACCTGCGACCTCGCCATGGCCTCCTCAATCGCCCCCCGCATGGCCGCTGTAGGCATCTGCATCTTGTCGTACCTCTGCACCTGCAGCCCAGCTTGCTTCACGGAGGTCACCGCTACCATTCGCCCATGGGAGGCCACAATCGTCGACTGCCGAGGGAGGCTTTGCGCCCCACCCACCCGTTTAGATATATAGTGGGAAGGCTAATGGCCATATCTGTTTCAGCTTTCACGCATGAAGACAAAAGGACTCTTGATGGCCTAGTGATAAGGTGGGTTGGTGGTGGTATTTTTTAGCACTATGATCAGTTACCAATATGCCGGAAGCTGAAGATGATTACTTAAGAGAGGTAGAAGTCGACCAAGGTGACGTGGCTTCACGAAATCGCAGAAAAATCCTCTAGTGGGGTTCACCTATTTAGGTATAGTAGATATCCTTGACAACCTTAACAATTTTGACTTACATTTTCTCAATTCACTTTTGCTTCACATTTAGTTCAACAGCAACTAAATTCATATTTTCTGAATTCACTTTCAACTATTTTCTAATGAGTACAGATAGAACTTGAATTTCTGCATATTCTACTTACAGTTTGATAATGAACTTTCAAGTCAATAGGACAAAAGAAAACTTGCATACCTGCTCAAGAGAAGCAAGTTGCATGAATCTCTCGTAATATAATTCCCAATCAGGTTCAAGACCTACATTTATGGGTGTGACCAAGTAAACTAAATGCAAATCAGATGCCAGAACAAAGCCTTCTCTTGCCCTCGAAAGATCATCAAGAACAACCTAGAGCAGAAACAGAAAAATGCAAGATTAAACAATGCAATGAAATAATGAAGGAGCAAAGACAAGTATGCTACCAGTGATTCCTCAGGGTTGAGTGAACTTCCAAAAGCAGCTCTACCAAGGGGAGTAGCGGAGTATATCTTGGTCTCATGGTTCCAGTCAAGAAACCTTTTATGGCATAACCAACGAAGGGAGTCTTGAGCTGACTTCACGACATCATCAAAAGGTCTCGTGGAGTTAAGCAGCGTACACCGCACATATCGATGAATATCATTTGCAGTTTGCACAATCCCACCAGCAACAACCTCCATAATTGCATGAGTCATTCCATTTTTATCTTCTGAGAGGCAGGACTCCAAGGGAGGGCAATTGCTTCTAATAATACCTGTAATTCTCTTGACCTCTTCAAGCCTGCATACAAGTATCTGCATGCATTTCAAATGTCAAATTATTAGACAAAAACAGAAATATCTACACACAAATTAAAAAATGAAAACAGAACTAGTGAAATGTCAGAACCATTCTCTATGTACAATAAAGTGGAACAAAGATATTGTAGCTTACACTTTCTCCTTTTGTGTCTATTCCAGTTCGACCAGCACGGCCAGCCATCTGTCTATAGCGAGTCCCATCAATAAAATCACGACCTATCTTAGGCTGCCTGAATATAACCCGTCTAGCAGGCAAGTTAACACCAGCAGCTAAAGTTGAAGTGGCAGTCAGAACACGGACAAGACCTTTACGGTAGCATGATTCCACAATCTCCCTCTCCTCAACCTGCCACAGAACAGCAGGCGATGATGCTCGTTGGATCAAACAGAACAGGTCATAGATGGTGAGCTCAATGGTCTGGCAGATCAGTTCCTAGCACCCTTTCCCAGTTGTGGTTAGGTGAAAATGGCATCGCTTTATTACATTTAGCAGTGTACACTTCAAAAAAATTATTGTTGATATTTTGTGTATCTTATGAAGATAGAAGATAACTTTCATACCGTAAGACCAGCATGATGATATGCAACACCAAAAGGAAGGGTTTCTCCCAATATTGGATCCAATCCAGCAGGGCACCTCCTCAAGGCCTCAATAGCAGCTGCAGCATCTGAAAACTCTGAACTAACATCACTTGATCCAGCAGAGGGTAGTTTCAAGAACTTGGCAACATGTCTTGCAGTTGATTCACAGCCTTTACGACTGGAGCAAAACAAAAGCACAGAATGGCCCTGAAGAACAACCTGGAACAAACACAAGTAGGATATTCAATTTGTTTCGGAAGTGTAGTGGTTAACAGAGAAAAACTAAGGCCTGCAGAGTAAATATCAGATTTACCTCATTACACAGTTCAACAATATGATCTGGATCCTTGCCACCATGGTCAGCTACTTTGGGAAGGACACGAACAACGTTCATGTCTTTATCAAATATTTGATTACCAACTTTGATGAATTCCTCCAGTGGAACTGGTCGAAAGTCAGTTTGATAAAGAGCAGCCTAGGATTACATAACAGCATAACATAAACATCAATTATAATAGGCATTCAACTATAAATCATTCATATTACCCAAACAGATCAAAAGTTAGCACCTTCACAAAATAACTTACTATTAACAAAGTAACTAGACAGCAAAATATGTTCATAATGAAGAAAACCTAAATCCTCATATATAGATCATGCATGATTCGAAATTGAAAATAAAATTCAGTTAGTTGTGCAAAAGAAGACAACAGAGAGAAGACATCCCGATGACTTTGCCTTAAGCGAGGGGAGCGCAGAACCATTTAGGAATGTACTCACACTACCTGCGAGCACCTGGATTTGAGCTCAGGTGGGCATCCTCTCAACTGGAGGCTCTACCAACTGAGCTATTGAAGATCTAGGTTTCATTTTTAACTCAAATTTATCACTAGAAATCTGCAAATTGGTAGCATATATTGTTGTCTAGTTAACCAAGCTACATTCCGTTGTGCAAAATTTAAATTCAAGTTGATACAGTGCTTCCAGATCGAAGACCAATTAACCGGTATAGCGTGATCCAGATCTTTTGGTATTTGACCAGCACACTAAGCATACTACAAGAAACCAATGAACAACTATGAATGTCACTTGATATCAAGATTAGTGTTATCAGATCGCACGACCAATCGCAATTAATCGTGATTAGTCGTCCTTATCGTAAACTGGGACTCGATAAGGCTCTCGATTCGATCAGACCGACTAAAAAACTAGTCGTCCGACAAATCGACGACTAATCACGATTATTCATCCGATAAGTAGTCTGGACGACTAGTTGGGCCAGCCCAAGGAAATGTTTTGCTAGGAAGAAATTGGCCCACATTGGGTGACCTTCAGGTTTTGGTATATATATACCATATATACGTTGTGGAAAGGAGGGGGAGGAGCAGCCGCTGGTGCTTTATGAGCGCGCGCACGTTCCCTTCTCCCGCCTCCGCTCACTGCTCCGACAGCCGCTCGCACGCCTCTCCTCCAGACTCCACCCTCCGCATGCTCCAAGAGCCCGTGGCCCGTGGCCCGCCTCTCCTCCACCGGCGGGTCCTTCTCTCCCATGCCGGTGCTTCCCGCCTCTTCCCAACTAGCGCCGCCTCTCGCCAACCCCACCGGCGCTTGTTGCCTGGACCTGGAGTCAAGCAGCAGTGCAGCAGCAAGCCAGTGACTGTCCCCTTGAAGCTGCAGCATTTCATGGTGAACAAGGAGAGGATGGGGGTGGTGTAAAGCAGTTCATGGTGAAGCTGAAGGTGCTGCTGCTGCTGAACCAAGTTCTTGGGCAAAGGCATAGGCTGCTGCTGCTGCTGTGCTTGACTGTTTGCCTCTTCCATTTACCAATTTATGGCCATGTTTACATATATTTACAACAGATATATAGTATCTACATCAAATATATAGTATATATGTACATGGTCGATCAGGTCATTTTTTTAACACAATGGTAGGAGCTCCGCCTTTCAATTAAGAAATAGAATTGACCCAGTTTATAAGGAAAACCAGGACTAAAACCTCACATCGCACAGTTTATCAAAGGAAAACTGGCCAAAACCTAAACATGACAACCCCGATAACTAACCCTGAGCAACCCACCTACACACAAACAACCGACGGAGCCCACCGCACGCCATCGTTGCCGAGCTTATCACACGAAAGTGATAAGCAGCTCTGACTTCCCACAGCGAACATCAGCCAAAGTCCTAACACGCCACCACCTACTCACAACAAGCCCCGGCTTCCAAAGAAAGTGAACACAATGTGTCATCGTTGCCAAGCTTTGTTGCACCCACAACGAAAGCAGCTCTGACTTCGCTATTGATCCACCCTAGGAGAGCAAAAGACATGCTGCAAGCAAGTAGTAAACCCGAAAGAGCCCAGCCTTGTCGAAACCCGGGGCTTCCATGGTAAATGTCCCATGCGGACCAACATTCACAGCACCACAGGATCTAGGCGATGCCTTCAGGAAGGATACAACGCTGAGCACCGCTGTCACCTGCCTAGGGACCCTAGGCAGAGTTTCCTCGGAAGAAGCCACAAGGTAAGGGGAGACGCCTGGACGACGCTTCCAAGGAAGGGAACAACACCCGGGGTCAACGGCGGCGTCTCAAGCTAATGCTAGCCAAGGCTTTCGCCAACACATCTCTCCTCACACCACCGTGTGCAATCAACTCAGCTGCTCCGAAAGCTCTGGTGAAGTTGCTCGTCGTCCGCCGCACGCAGCTCTCGAGCTAACGTAGAGCCGTTGCAGGTGAAAAGCTATGCCCACAGCAGGGCCCTGCTGTGGCCAGCCATGGCTGTCGTGCCCTAGCAAGACCGCCCAGAGACAAAGCACGCAGACGTCGCCACCGCCACAAGCCTAAGCAGGCTCGCACCTCCTATGTCGCGATCGCAAGCTTGGCGCTGGCTCGCCTCACCAACGAGCACCCATCCCCAGTGGCCATGCCCACCCCAACACGTGGTTACTGCTTTGCCGCTACGACGGGCCACATGCTTGCATAAGCCAAAAGTTGACCGAGCCTTGGGAGCCGAGAAGCACCCAGCCATGCTCGAAGACGAAGCCGGCGGCACAAGGGCCACCGCCCTCCGTAGATTCACCCTTCCCCGCCTGGGAGACGCCCGATCCCGCTACAGTGGCGGTGGATCTAGGCACCACCCACCAAAGCTGAGCGAAGAGCCATGAGAGGGTGAGGGGACAGCTGCACCGCCACCGCGTGGCCGCCATAGGCCCAACCGGAGCAGGTCTGGCCCAAAGATTGGCGGATCCAGGATCCAGAGGCCCTCCGCCGGGAGGAGCAGCTTCACAATACCATGGTGGAGAGGAGCTTGATAGAGCCGACGAGCACGAGGAGGAAGAGGAAGAGAATGCCCCGTCGTCGCCTTCCTTGCGACCCCGCGCTCCGGCAGCACGCTCCAGCGACGGCGAGGGGAAGCGGAGGAAGAAGGGGCAACACGGAGGAGACGAGTAGCGATGGATACTAGCTCTGCATGGTTGATCAGGTCATCTAGGCACATGGACGAATAAATGTTCGACTAGCCGACTAGACCGACTAATCGACCCCGATCGACGACTAATAGTGATTAGTCGTCTGATCAGTGGTCATAGGACTAGCCTCGATCATACGATCCGATGACATTGATGAAGATATCCATGTTAGGCTACAGGTTTGAAGACAGCAAAAAAAATGCCTTAAAAAGTTGATGAAAGAAAATATAACTAGGATTAGGAAGTTCAATTGCTCACATATTTATCAGGTGCCTCTGAACTAATTATCATCTTATCAGATCTTGGCTCAATGATAAAGGTTAACTTTCCTTTTTTTCAAATATGGTAAATGAACTACAATGCTAAGTTGAACTTCTGTGGGTTAGTAATGTTGTTTCACACAAATAAAGCATCCCTTCATTAAGTATATAAAATTAGGAGAAATAAATATCTTACTTGAAGCCAATCAGCTACCGCAGCGATGTTGGGCATAGTAGCACTCATACCAATTATCTGCAACCCATGACTTGCCATCTTCCCACTGCTAGAGCCTGAAATTTCTCCGCTAGATGACTGTGAAGTCCCTTCACCAGCAGCATATCGAAGCTTTGTGAGCATCAGCTCTAAAAGATACCCTCTGTGTTGGTCACCAACCTATAATGTAATTGCATAATTGGAGATCTTAACAAGTTTAAACTATATATTACATTATGTTCGACAAATTAAGTCAAAGGAGAAAGGAAGAAAGGACCAATTCAGGGGCATGGGGTAAGGTAAATAAAAACAGGTAAAGATGCAACGCTATATGCTTCCTTAAGTAGGGGCTGGTGGATAGTAATACTGTCATAGAGCTTTAGCCGAATGGCAAGCTGGTAGGCTATTGGTCCTGGGCCCAATATTACAAATCTATGAGGGAAGCCCTGAGGAACGTCGAATGCTTCCTATTTGATTTGCATTTGCTAAGGCTTAAGTATGCTGCCAGAATTCATTGAGCGCCAGGATCAATGGCACTTTTCTTTGTTGTTTCTTGTTTACTGACAATTGTCAAGAATGACAAACCTTTCTTATTTATAAATTGCTCTTAATGATTATGACCTAACAATATGGAAACTCAGGTAACAGGTAAAGTAACACATAAGATTACTAGATTAAGATAAGATGGGTGATGACTAACCATCCCAAACATTGAACAAAAAAAGAACACCCCAAAAAAAATAAACTGTGATGCAGTAGGGATAAAGGTACATCACTTGGACTAGATCGATGGCCCTAGGCGTTGGGCCAAATTCACTCCCAACCGGCCCAGGTGCAGAGAAGAGAGAGCAGGCCAAATCCAATTTGAAGTTCTAATTGATGTATACAGTACACCAATACCACATACACCTATACCAGAATTTGTAGTGCTCTTAGTTAGCTATGACAAACTCTCAGCAGGCTGGACAGGGTTTTCTCTACCATGGAATGGGAAAATTTATTCCCAAGTTGTCTGTTGCAAAGTACAGCCTCCATGGACTCAGATCATTGCCCTCTAATTATAGGGCTGAATGACATGCTGCCTGGAAAGGGCAGATTCCACTTTGCATCTTTCTGGCCTAAACTGGAGGGTTTCCATGAAGTGGTTGGTCAGGCCTGGGGTTCAGTTGAAGCAAGGGCTTGTCCTCTGGAGACTCTGTCATTGAAGTTTAAATATCTTACCCGAGCTTTACAAAACTGGAGTCAGAAATGCATCGGAAACATTGGTGCTCAACTTGGTATTGCCAGAGAAATTATCCATCAACTTGAAATTGCTCAGGACAGCAGACAGCTATCAGAAGGAGAACTTTGGTTGCTGCACTCTTTGAGAAAACATTCTCTAGCTTTGAGTTCTATGCAGAGAACAATTGCTCGGGTCAGGTCAAGGATTAACTGGTTGAAAGATGGGGATGCTAATACAGCGCTGTTCCATGCTCATGTCCGTCATAGGAAGCGCAAAAATTTCATCTCACAAATAATAGTAGATGATCAGGTGCTGACTAGCCATGGGGATAAGGCTGCAGCAATTTATGATTTCTATGATCAGTTGTTGGGCACAAGTGGCCAGCGGGATCTGACCATCAACCTTGAAGAGCTGAACTTAAGCCAAATTGATTTGACCAACCTGGAACTGCCTTTTTCGGAGGATGAGGTGTGGAACACCATCAAGCATTTGCCTCCAGATAAGGCCCCAGGTCCGGATGGATACACAGGGCGTTTCTACAAGATATGCTGGCCAGTTATCAAACCTGAATTAATGGCTGCTATATCAGCGGTGCAGCGTGGGAATTTTAGGAACATGCAGCTTCTTAACTCGACACTGCTAACCCTCTTGCCCAAAAAAGATGATGCTTCCTCAGTTAAGGACTTTCGACCAATTAGTCTTATCCACAGTTTTGCTAAGTTGGTCACAAAACTGTTGGCAAACCGCTTGGCAGGAAGACTCAGTGAGTTGGTGTCATCCAATCAAAGTGCTTTCGTGAAAGGGTGTTGTATTCATGATAATTTCTTACTTGTCCAGCAGACGGCCAGGTTCTTGCATCAACAAAAGCTGCCACGCATTCTATTGAAGTTGGACATCTCTAAAGCCTTCAACTCGGTTTCCTGGCCGTTTCTTTTGGAGGTTCTTCAGAGAAGGGGTTTTGGGTGTAAATGGCGGGATATGATCAGTGGCTTGCTTGGCTCGTCATCAACTAGGGTGCTACTCAATGGGGTCCCCGGTGAGGTTTTAAATCACCGGCGTGGACTTCGGCAAGGTGACCCACTCTCTCCTATGCTTTTTATCCTTGTCATGGATGTCCCGAATAGATTGATTGATAAGGCGAGCATGAAGGGTTGTTTGCAGCCATTTTCCACTAGGAATATTCATCATCGTGTATCCCTTTATGCCGATGATGTGGTATCGCTTTCTTCGCCTTGACCGCCATACAGATTTGAAAATGGTGGATGCATCGTTACGGCTATTTGGCACATCCTCGGGATCGAGAACAAATATTCGGAAATGCAAAGTGTCTCTCCTATTCAATGCTCTAATGAAGACTTGGCTGTGGTTGAGACTCAATTTCCATGTGTAGTTTAGGAGTTTCCCTGCAAATATCTTGGCCTTCCTCTTTCCATCAAGAAGCTATCCGAGACACAATTACAACCTCTCGATTGAGAAGGTGGTGACCATCCGCCAAAGTTGGAAATCTAAGTTGATGAATCGAGCGGTCGGGCTACATATGTGCAATCGGTTCTCACCTCAGTTCTAATATATTTCGCCAACGCCTTGGAGCTTCCTCCATGGTGCCTAAAGCGGTGGATAAGATTCGTCGTAATTTCTTGTATGGAAAGGTGAAGGAAGCAAAAGGAGGTCACTGTTTATTATTAGCTTGGCCCAAGGTGAGCCGTCCAAAGGAGCTTGGTGGCTTGGGCATTTTAGACCTTCAAAGATTTGGTTGGGCACTCGTGGTCCGTTGGTTGTGGTTGGGTAAAACTGAACCTGATAAGCCATGGGCAGCCTTCCCGATCACGGTTCATGGGAATGCACAGCCCTATTTGATGTTCTTTGTAACTACGAAAGTCGGCAATGGGGCGTAACACCAAGTTCTGGACTGATCGGTGGTTACAAGGGTCATCTATTAAGCTATTAGCTCCCAATTTATTTGCAACTGTACCCAAGAGGAGGGTTAAGAAACGTACAATTTGGGAAGCACTAATGGACAATCATTGGAGTACAGGATATCCCGGGGCACCATTACGTGGAGGTCCTATCGTAATTCTTGGACATTTGGGACTTGGTTAGGAAACATTACTCCTGCCAGAGGTTGAGGATGTTCATAAGTGGAAATTGGACATTTCAGGTCAATTCTCTACTAAGTCAGCATATGAGGCTTTGTTCCTTGGAGCAGTCCAGTTTGAGCCGAGCACTCTAATTTGGAAGAATTGGGGTCCCTGTGAAGTGCAAATTCTTCCTTTGGTTAGTTGCACATAATCGATGTTGGACGGTGATAGACTTGCTAGAAGAGGTCTTCCTCATCCCGAAACACTTGCCTTTACGTGACCAAGAGGATGAAACCATTCAGCACCTCCTTTGTTACTGTGTCTTCTCTCGGCAATTTGGTTTCAATTATTTCGCACCTTTGCACTCCCGGATATTGCACCTCAACCATCCGCCTTTGGGTTCTTTATTTGGTGGCAACAAGCCCGATAGCACTCTTGACAAAAGAACCAAGAGAGGATTCAATTCATTGGTCATGCTAGGAGCCTAGATGCTTTGGAAGGTGAGAAATGATATTGTGTTCAATGGTGCCTCGCTTAGGATAGAGCGGGTGCTTCTCCTTGCACAAGAAGAAGCCGCTCTCTGGAGGTTTGGCAGCGCTAAAGGCATTAGTGAACTGAACTGTCGCCGCTTTCGACGTGGGTTTAGCAAATACTTGTTGAGGGGAGGTCGTCTTTTTACAGTTTTAATCGGGCGCGTATGTAATCTAGAGGCGGACGGTGTGTGTGTCTTTGTTGTATGGCTATATAAGCCTTTTATCCCTTTCTTAATGCAATGATACATTAGCTCTCCTGCGTATTCCGTAAAATAAAACCTCTACTACTTACAATGCTAGTACATCATTTTTTCTTGAACATGCGGGGAGAGTTGTGTATCATTGGATTAATTGAAGAGCGTCATACAAAACGCGCATACACACTACTCGAGATCCCGAGATAGTACCACGCCCTGTAGTGCTCCATCTGTTTCATAAAACAAATCCAATTCCACAACGCACACTGGCCAAGGGGCACTAATAGCTAACAACAGGCCAACAAATATCCTCATTAAATGGCAATAATCTCGCATACACGCTATTAAAAGAGGGCAAAGAATAGAAATATTAGAATAATTACATTAGTATTCTCAATGCTTGCTGAAATGACAATTCCCAAGGCAATGGACTTGCATTACAAAATAGGTGTGGTATGAATAACCATGAAAGTACCAACAACAAAAGGTTTAAAGCAAAGAGAGGATGTTCTGAGCAGCACTTCGGTTTTAGACAAGCTTACCATATGAAGTTCATCTATGACAATTATACCAAGTTCAGAGAGGCGGCCATCCTCCAACAACTTGTTTACCAAAGAGTTTGCCTTCTCTATGGTACATACAGCAACTGCAGTATCTTTAGGAAGTGAACCTCCCCCCTGGTTCCCGTAGAAGCTACGGACATGCCTACCCAGTGGCTCAAGAAGTTGTTCAAGATGTTCAGCCTGTAAAAGTTAAATGAATAATCAAACACGAGTATGTTTCAGACCATTCCAAAGCTGTATAAATATTTAAAAACCTTTTCAGCACATATTGACACATAGGGAAGGACAAGAATTGCCATATTCCCACTTGACAGTATCCGCCTCAACATCAGAACTTCAGCGACGAAACTTTTACCAGCACTGCAAATTTAACAACAAAAAAGATACACATAAGATTAGATAGAACATAGAAGAGAAACTTGAAAAAAAAAAACAGTAGGCATCTGAGAATGTGAAGTGTGCAGGTATGTCCACGTATGAACAGACATGAAAGATCTGCAAGCACCTCGTGGATGCACAATACACAAGATTCCTTTTGTCCAAGACACCTTCCACAAGTAAACATTCAACCTGCAATGGACATGGGAACATAGCCCAAAGGAAAATCAATACGAGTTGCAAGCAAGGATTATATTTAAAGAAAGGAACAAAATTATTTTTCACCATAACATTCTTGAAAACTAATTTATTTACGAACTCCCTGATACTTAATGACAAAAAGGATGGAGGACAATACTGAACAAATCACAGATACAGCTGAGTTGACAAAAGTTTGCAGCCAACATTAAATATTAAAATTTCGATAATAATATTTTTGCGTTAACTCCTGTGGACACCGTCAGATCATTGTGCACATGTACACAGTTTCATACGCCGATGGACCTAAACCGTTCACGTTTATTTTGGTTATCAAAGCAGCCAAACCATAGACTAACTCACTGACACCAAGGTGAGTAACAATTGCAACTTATGAGAATGTGCAACCACACAAATACCCGCAAAAAAAGCATGTCTACACAGAAGGTGGAAACAAATGCATAAATGATCATGGATAAAACAAGGATATTCAGGACATGTTTAGTTTGAGAACCCAGGATGCCAGACCAAAATTTGGCCATGCCCCAACAATCTGGCAACCACTTGGTTAGAGGTAAAAAAAATTCGAAAACGCAGGAGAGATGCGCTTCATTATATTAAGAAGAAATTGGGACAGGAACCCAGTTACAACACACACCACAAACGCCACATTTAATAGTTACAAACGCCCCGATTAAAAAGAGGACATAGAATGACCCATCTAAAAAACAGCACTCAAGACACGGCCATGGGGACAGTCAAGAAAAAGATTCCTCTAGCCCCTGCCATAGACCAAAGCCGACGCTCTTCTCCTGCCACAATCAGGGCTTGAGAAACACTAGGGGTCATACCATAAAAAAACAACGGTTCCGGTGGTCCCATATGATCCAAGCGCCCAATATGATCAGAGAGTTGAGCCCACGGTGGAGGTCAAATTTTGGCTGGCCCAAACAAAATTTGACAAGCCGAGACATTTGTAGAACGCCATTGCAGGATGGCTGAATTACTCGCCCAAGTTTTCCCAGGGAGCCAAAGGTTACGTCCCTATGATGTGTAGTTAGCTGGTAGGTCCAAACAAAAAGCAATTATGGGTTTGTTTGGTTCAACTGAGCTATGGAAAAACTGTTGTGAGCTGTGAGATATGGAAAAGCTGATGTGAGCTATGCGCTGTGAAAAAGATATGTTGTTTGGTTGAAACAACTATGAAGCCTACCCCTTTCTTTCTCTCGCTTGAAAAAGCTGTAAACGTCTTTCTGTTTCCAACCATTTGAGAAAGCAAAAAGCTGAAAGCCAAAAGTAGGTCCAAGCTGCTGGTTAAATTGTAATACGCGAAAGCAGAGCAGAAGCACTTTTCAGAAGCTAAACCAAACACAGCCTATGTTTGATACCCATACTTAAAGTGATTAGTATATTGACTAACTGTAGCTCCAGTTTCTATATCTGTTTGAACCACTATGAGGCAGTTCGGCAGAACTGAAAAATAAGCCAAAATACTGTTCCGGCTGATTGTTGTGAGGGAAAAATATTGTTCTATCTGAAAACACTGTTCATATGAGTGCGCTGGCCAGCCAGCCGAACGCGGCCTATATTTCTAGCAATTTGATCAACAATCAAGATCCATATATTGATTATAATTAATGCTGAAAACTTTATTGACACATAGGACCCACATTTCACATACAAGGTGGCTTTAGAACTACTTGCAGACATGCTCATGCGCTGCAACAGGAGAAAACCCCCTAGCATGCCCTAGCCCAATAAACATATCCCAAAACTTAATTTTTATACATGAATTAGCACCATTGTTAGGCAATAATATTTATTCGCATATATTTAAAACAGTGCTCTAAAAAATTGTAGAACTAAGCCCATAATAACTAAAACTTCATTTGGCCCCAAACTCCTCTTTCGGCCTATCCTATGCAACCGAACGGCATATATTAGAAGAAACAAAATACAACTCCAAGAAGCAGACCACATTCGGCCTGACCCACTAACACACGTGCGTCCCACAAGGACCTCCACCCTAGGTCAAAAAACATGGCCTCAGAGATGGCGGCCAACACACACTGGCTATTCAATCATGAACAAATGGCTCTTAGCGAGCAGAGTCCTGACCAGCTATAAGAGACACGCAGGAGCAGCTTGGACCCACCTGTCATTGGGTGGAGGGGGGCGACAAGAAGAAGAAACACTATTTCTTTTAATATTAGGTAGCTATTTATGTAATTTTACTTGGCTCCAATTATCTTGTACTTGCCTAAATTTGGTCATGTCCGGGTTTCTTCCGTGGCCAAATTTTGGCTTAGCACAGTGGGGGCACAAACCAAACAGGCCTTGAGACAGATCTAAGAGAGCACTACAGTATTCGAGAAAAAGGAAGCAAAAAACATTAAAAGGGTGAAAAAATAAAATGTGGTGGTAGCAATACAAAAGAAAACTTAAGCTTTTCGTATGAATCCGTTACCATATAATTGGCATCTACACCACTTGACATACTAAGTACTTGTTTTGGAGACGTACTTGTTACGATACAAATACTAAAGAAGCTTAGCTTATGAGCAAAAATAACTGGTAAGCCTACTAGTAGAGAGGGCAGCAGTAGTTTGCAACACTTTGCTGGAGAAATTTTCCAACGCAGGCAAAAATGGTCAAGTGAAAGAAAGCTAGCTGCCAGAGATTTATTAAAAAGATAATTAGGGAAAAGAATCCTAACCTGCCAAGGGTACAGCTCTGAAATGCCTTTTTTTCATGTACATAGCACAAAGTTCAGGAGGAAGCCAACTTGATAGCTTTGAGTGATCCTTCAGAGGAATGGAGCTAGTGGGTGTGCTAGCTTCCACTTCCTCAGAAGCAAATTTACTCTTGGAATCTATCCAAGTCTTGCAATTATTTGAATATGCAGCAAGTGATTTATTTTCATTGTGGGTTGGCTGATTGAGATCTCTCCTAATAAGATGAGAATCTCTTTCACCCTCTTGAGTTGGGTGAACCTTCCCTTCAATTGTTGACTTGAATACACCCTGACATCTCATGGCTGCAGAATCAGTGTGCAAATTATTAGCACTTTTCTTCATCACATCCACAGGGTCTTTGAGATTTTCCTTTCCTAGAAGGCCACTGTCTTTCAATGGAACATGGTCTGCTTGTGCATTACAAGCTTCATAGCTGCCTTTTGCTTCAAATTTTGAACATGAAACTTTAATATCATCCTCATGAAAGAAATCCAGCTGCTTCACAGGCAAAGGAGAATTAATTATATGCTGACTGTGTACTGCCAGTGATTCAACTTTATTTGACAATTTCTCCATATGATGTGTATCATTGCTTCCTACTGTATTTTGACAGTCAAGTTCATCCCTTCCTGATCTACAAAGAGTCTTAGAGCATACTGCTACTGCACAAGATGACTTGTCTTCTGCTGCGTCAAATTCAGGCCTTCCACGGACCTTATCAGCTTGGGCAGATATCCCGTCAGCGAGTTCAATTGCTGCATTCCAGAACTCCTCCCCAGGTGAAGTAAGGGAATTCCTCAATACAGACTTTAGGGTTTCCACAGGGGCTAGAGAAAACCCAACTTTTCTCTGTGCAGTACTTGGGGTAAAGCTACATCTTTGCAAGGCCGAAAACCCAACACAACTCACCTGTTCCCCCTCAAAAGGTTCCTGCTGAAAAGAACATAATGAGAAGTTCAAAAGGAAAAAAGAAAAATAAAGAAACGGTTCCAGATTTGACTTGTTCAGGCATAACCAAACCTCCATAGCCTCTGAGCCACCGTGGTGATTGATGCATTGCTTCATGGAAGCCACATTATCATCCAACTCCTGCAAAGAACCAAACTAAGAGTTGAAACTCATGAAATCACTTATTACATGATGACGCTAAGGATGGAAAGATAGTGTATCTTGGTCCAACCTTTAGAGCCTCCAAGCCACCACAATGGGCAACTCGCTGCTTCTTGGCATAGTCATTGTCACAAGGAACCAAGAATGACTGGGTTGCACTCCGCTTCTGCTTCATACCCCACTGCTCTCTGTAATCACAGTCACCCCTCAAAGGCAGGATAGCACTGGAGCAACAAGATTACACCCGTAATTTGCAAAAGAACAGTTCTTGGCACAAATATACTATATAACTCCCCTTACGTTTCACACTGAGTGCGCTCACCTGCAGGAATGGGACAAGAAGTCCGCCGTGCTCCTCCTGAGATCAAAGTCCGCCTCGCCACCTACCACCGCCACCACCGGAGCCGAGGAACCGACATCGACATCCATTGCGGCCGAGAGGCTCCGCCTGGTGCCCGGGTCCCCGCCACTGGGCGAGCCCACGGGGACCGCCGATGCCGCCGCCGCGGCACGGGTGGAAGGCGAACGGACGAGGTACTCCTCCAGGGACCCCTTGGCGCCGCCGGGGCTCTCATGCTGCGTCCCGGGTCGCGGCGACTCGTCCTTGCGCGACGAGGGCCTCCGCTTCTTGGCCGGAAAGAACTACGGTGGAGCCGGATCGCGGGGAGAATTAGCGCTTGGAGGCGAGGAGGCGAATGGGCGAGGAACTAGGTTAGGGTTTTACCTGGTCGATTTGGGGGCCAGACGAGCCCGACGCCATTGCGGAGGGAAAGTTTCCGGAGGGGTGTTTAGTTTCTTTTGAATTGTTGGGCATAGCCGCGGAGCGGAGGAGGGGAAAGGTTGCACAGGAACTGGTTAAGTCCCGGTTATTCCTCCTAAAAAGTCTCCATTTACTAACTTCTAAAAAAAAATTAGAAGAAAAAAAAGTTCACCTCTAATAATTTCTAGTATTTTACTTAAAAAAAACAAATGTTGATCCCATTTGACGTTTTCTTTTTTGCAGTCTTCTTTTTTTCCACGCTCCGGCGGATTTGATTTTGCTCGTTCCGTGTGTCTCTGGTAGAATCTGTTCCCCCGCTGCCTTGAATCCATTTGTCTCCGGAGCAGCCACGGAGTACTAATACCAGCACATTTTTCCGATGGTTTGTCATGTTCTCAGGTGGATGGATGTGTCCTTGACTGCCGGGCGTCCGCCCGCTCGCCCGCACACCGGCGCGCCCGCAGCAGCAATGGGCAACGGGGACCTAGATTTCTCCAACCTGAGACCGCCGAGTCGCCGTCTGAGAACAACAACAACACCGGCAACAGCAACGCCGCCTCCAAGAAGCACCCCTCGGGGAACCGCGCCGCCGTCAGGAAGTACCGTGAGAAGAAGAAGGCCCACACCGCGTCGCTAGAGGAGGAGGTGGTCCACCTCCGGGCGCTCAACCAGCAGCTCATGAAGAAGCTCCAGAGCCATGCCGCGCTCGAGGCCGAGGTGGCCAGGCTTCGCTGCTTGCTCGTCGACATCAGGGGTAGGATCGAGGGGGAGATTGGCGCGTTTCCCTATCAGAGGCCGGCGAGAAGAGGACTCTGCGGGAACGGCGTCTCCGCGCGTGGCTTCATCCGTATAAAGTTACGTGGAAGGGGAAGGAATTTCCTAAGTCTTAAAAGATTAAGAGTAAATATTAGAAGTTGTTGAAGATAATTTTTTTCTATCTTTCTAAAAAATAAAGATTAGGGGATGTTTAGGGAACACTTGGAGATGCTTTTAGCCTAAGGTTTGACACCAATTTATAGTATTAAATATAGAATAATTATAAAACTAATTATACAGATTAAGACTAATTTGTGAGACGAATCTATTAAGCCTAATTAATTCATGATTTGTTAATGTTGTGCTACAATAAATATGTGCTAATCGTGAATTAATTAGGTTTAATAGATTTATCTCGCTAATTAGTCTACCCTTTGCAATTAGTTTTATAATTTGCTCATGTTTAGACCTCCTAGTTAGCATCCCAAAGTCCGATGTGACGCAGACTAAACTTTAGTCCCAGGATCCAAACATCCACAACAACGCCAGCGACGAAGGGCCGCAGCCACTTGTTCTCGCAGCCCAACAGGCCCATGGTAGTTTGCGCAGTTCGCCTAATAAAAATGGATATCTAAATTATTCAATATTTATATTTGCTACAAAAATTGTAATATGAATATTTATATTTATGTTTATTTCTACTAAATGGATATATTTTAATTCATTTTAAATGTTTTTCTCTATCGAGTTAGATTATTCGGTATTTATCTGTATTCGAAGAACAAGGTATAATAAATCTATTTGGAAGTTTCCTCTCCATGACTATGACTAGTGACTAATTATTTAGTTTAATTTTGATATTACTAATGATTTATTGAAACTATTTAATAGTATATTTATATAACTTTTAATATTAATTTAAAATTATTAATGGTACATAAACATTAAGGGCCATTTGACATAGCTCAGCTTCTAGTGAAGCTGTTTTTTTTTAGGGGGGGGGGGTTGACTTCACGAGCAACTTTTTCAGCGAAGCCAAACTTATTTTGGAGACCCGTTTGGCAAAACAGCTCTGCATATGAATTTTCTTTAAATATGCTCTCACAGAATTTCCACATAGGGTATCCAATTGTTTTTTCTTCCATAGTCATAAAGTTGATATTAGTAGAATCAACTATAGTATTATTACTTTATTACAAAAAAATAAAGGAAGCAAATAAAATTTAACAATTTAGACCTATTTGATTTTGAATTATTTATATAAGTTGGTCAAAAAACATTAACCATCAGATTGGAGACTGTCGGGTTATGATACCCCGGGTATTTCAAGACAACGATTAGTTAGGCGGCCCACGACAAACAAGTTAGTACAAGCCCAAGTGAGCATGGCCCAATCAAGTTATACAGGTGTGGCAGAACCTCCTAAATTACAGGGCCCACATGCACCTGTCACTGTCCAATGACCTCTGACGACTATGCATATGTTCCCGGTAACTTAAGAAGCCTATCGGGTATCCTCGGGAAACCCGAATCATCCATGATTTTTCCGAGCAGGATCCATTACAGAGTCATTACAGTATTACAACAATTTATTCATTAATTTACATCAGAGTGAAATAGCGGAAGTCTTACAATAACTTAGTTTACAAAACAGTTGTTTCAAACCTTACAAACTAAGTACGATTATTATTGCAAACCATAATAGTGGAGTAGCTTTAGTAACATAATACAAAACACACAATTAAAGTGCCATGTTCAAGGGTCACACATTTACTTGTCATCTTTAATTTGAACAACCGTCATGCAGCACGGTCCAAAACAGACCTGCTCATGAGGCTCACCTGCAACAAGGGTTAAAGAACCCTGAGTACAAAAGTATTCAACAAGACTTAACCGAAGTAAAAACTGAGAAGACTCAGGAATGCAGGATCGGGGATTCAAGGTAAGGCATTAGCAAGACTTAAAGTTCTTTTGCGTAAAAGCTCTCTAAAAAGATTCTTTATTTCAACATTTAAAACTTCATAAAGATCATATATAAAGCTGACATGATCCATATTGAGATCATGAAACTTCATATCAAACTCTTTCTCAAATCTTACTCAAGTTCTGTTTGTTAACTACGATGATGAACAGTGAGTTGAGTCTCCATAACCGAGGAGCAACGACGATTCGAACCGATTATAACCCAGCTGGGGATTCCCAACCACACGACATATGTAGGTCTCTGATCTACATATATCAACCTACCCTCAAATCCTCTAAAACAAGAACGGGTCCGCGCCACCCGAGAGCACAATACTCCACCAATACAGCCCATTGCTACGTGGGTACATGCTACTCTCGCCATCTCTTCACTCATAGTACGCGAGTACCCATTCTCATAATAGAATAGCCGAGTTAAGGCTTACCGGAGTATGTGGCCAGTACTACAAAGTCTCACCTCATGCAATTCAACAACGGACGGTTCTTAATCGACACAGGCGGAAAGAACCCGCTCACAAGACATCCATGTCTTATGGCTCTCATACACCGAGTCCGTCCGGTCAAGATTTATTACTCCACACGATTATATCTCATGATAACATAAATAACCAATCCTATCCAAAAATCCAGTTATATCTCGCAGGTAATAGGTAATCACCCGACTTTTATTGGTCTAAGCATGGCTAAGCATAACTAGGTATTCTCAGATTGAAACTGGTAACAAGGTTGATATAGAAAAACAAGGTTGGTAATGCACCAATTAGGTTTTCATTCAACTCCTAATCACTTAATACAGTATTTAAAAATAAAAGCGATACAAATTTGGAAAACACAAGGTAGGTTTAAATACATCTAGGGCTTGCCTTGATTGTCGGAATAGTCAGGTTCTAGAGACGTTCCACAGATATCAAACCCGACCTCATGGGTTGACTTCCTCAACAACTTGGTTGACTACCACGTTCTCACTTTCATTCACTACACGAGGTAACAATGTCATGTTTAATATGATGCGAGATATAAAACATGATGCTTGGCGATGGATGCAAAAGTTAATAACTTGAATACAACTTTTCTTCGCGGTACAGTTACAAACCAACAACTAACTAAACCTTTTCATAAACTCAAACACTTACTTTAAGTGCCAAGGATCATTTTATGCTAATGACTCGAGGTCATCACTCAATCCCAAATTCAAACAAAACCTAAATCATTAATGTTTACTATTTGTCTTTATTAAAAATTAATTCAAAATTATGAAATAAATCAACTTTCTCCAATTGAGTTCCAAATTTTTGTGAAGACTTATCATATGATAACTAAGTGGAAAAATAATTTTCATAATTTTTGGATAATTATTTAAGCCTAGAAAAATCATAGAAACCCATTTATAATTAATTTGAGCAATTTTTATCACATTCAAAATTTACTGAAAAGTAACATTTAATATTTTTCCTAAATAGTTCACATCTCATAGAGGTCACACAAAAATTTTCATAATTTTTAGAGCTCTATTTAATTCTACACAAAATAAACAAATCACAGCACTATTTAATCATTTCTGCAAAATAGAAAAATTCATTTTCAAATAAACGGCCACTGACAGAGTGATCCCACCGGTCAGCCCGTGCTGACCACGGTGGCGAAGCCCTCTGACCGGTGATTACTCGCCGACGGTGAGGTCTCCGGTGGTACGGAGTGCACCAACACGACCTTCTCAGTGCTGCGCATCGATTAACGGTACTGGTTAAGCATCTATGCTACTGCAACGACTTCGCCGGCGATGATGGCGGCACGGCGGTGTCCTACCGAGACGGCGATGGCAATCTACGACTTCACCGGTGATACAAATGTCTCCGGTGTATTCAGCACCTCCTAACGGACTTAACCAAGCACTCAATTGAACTAACGACACACCACAACGCAGGTAGCGACACGCGTAGCGGCACGGCGGAGCAAAACTCGCCGGCGTCCCGCAGTCCCGTGGCTATGGCGTGGTAGAGGTTAAATAGATCGCACAGGCATGATTAGTGGCTCACCCCGAAGCTGATGCGCGCGAGAACGATGGCTACGGCGAGGCGAAGCTAGTTCGTCGGCGTTAGAGACGAAAGCGGCCGCGCGAACTCACGGTGAAGCTCCGTTCTGAGGAAAGCAGCTAACCAAATGATCAACGATCAAGCTCATAAGCATTACGAGAGAATGAAGATCAAGAAACAGCAAAAGATGAAGCAAGAAGCCCACCCGAACTCCCAGTCCACGGTGGG